GATAGATAGATAGATAGATAGATAGATAGATAGATAGATAGATAGATAGATAGATAGATAGATAGATAGATAGATAGATAGATAGATAGATAGATAGATAGATAGATGTAGGAAGTAGACAGACAGACAGATATAGGTAGGTAGATAAGAAAGAAAGAGGAAAGAAAGAAAGAAAGAAAGAAAGAAAGAAAGAAAGAAAGAAAGAAAGAAAGAAAGAAAGAAAGAAAGAAAGAAAGATTTTAGGGAAAAAAGTATTTTTCTTACCTAAGCCTGCGTTTGCTAAAATGAAAATTACAATACTTCTGTTTTGATTCAATTTTCAGAAGGAGAAAGCAGCAGCTGTTCAAGGAGAAGAAGACAAGGAAAAATGAAAAGACATATTTTTGCCCTACCTGCTTGCAGACGAAGAGGGGGGAACATTTGCTTTCCTTTCATAGCGCCAGAAGACCACCTCAAGGGCTGTTCCTTCGAGTAAAACGGCTGCCGGTGGCTCAAACAGGATTTTGGATCCCTTGTTTTTTTTTTAATTCCCACATCTACTCATCTTGGACCCCTTTGTGTAAAGGAGCCGACCCAGCTGTCAAAAATGATGGCCGTTCGGAACAAGGGCCTGAAAATGTTCACGCTTGCCTTACTTTTCATCATCACCATCACGTCGTTCCTGCTCAACTACACCAACAACGTGGTGTCCACGTCTTGGGATCCCAAGCAGATCGCTTACCAGTTTTCGGAGCAGGTGAAAAAACTGCTGAAATACTCCAGGAGGCCCTGCGGTTGTGACACCTGCATTTTGGAACAGAGCTCAGCCTGGTTTGAAGAAAGGTTCAACGTAACTATCCAACCCTTCTTAACCACTCAAAATGCCTTCCTGCCCCAGGAGAACTACAGATGGTGGCTGGTGAGTAGGAGGGAGAAGAGGTCTATGGAGATTCTCAGTCATCCAGGTCACGAGCAAGGGGGTTGGACTAGAAGACCTCCACGGTCCTGTCCAACTCTGTTATTCTATTCTACGGTTGTCCCCAAGGTGCTTTTTTTCATGAGGCAACTGGACTTCCTTGTTTTTCTTTGAAGACGTTTCGCTTCTCATCCAAGAAGCTTCTTGGAAGCTTCAAGGAGGACCATCTATGTCAAAGTTGAACAGTCCTCTCTCAACAGAGGGGGAGGGAGACGGCATAGGCCAGGGGTGTCAAACTCAATTTCATTGAGGGCCGCATCAGCATTGCGGTTGCCCTCAGGGGGTCAGGTGGGTGTGGCCAGGGTGGGTGCGGCCTATTGGGTGGGCGTGGATGGAGTGGGTGTGGCCTACTGGGTGGGTATGGCCAGCTCTACACCGTTTGCGTCAAGGGTGCCTGTGGGGGGCTAGGCAGGAGTGGGATAGATCCGAGGGTCTCTGGCAGAAGGGGGTGGGACCAGGGCAAGTGCCAAGGCATGGTCCACTGGAGGACCCTCACTGTTCCTCTCAGGCCATGCGGGGGGGGGGGCTTATGGAGCTAAGACTGAATGTGTTTCAGTGTAGATGGCCACCACAAAATTGTACATTGGCTCCCGGCTGGCTTGGGCCAGGGCCAAGGCAGAGGGGGCCGTTCCCTCACTGTTTCCAGGATGGCTTCGCGGGCCACATGAAACCACTTCGCGGGCCGCATCCGGCCCGCAGGCCTTGTGTTTGACATGTCTGGCATAGGCAAAGAGAGTACAGGTTTTGGATGCACTCCAACAATACCCCAGGTGTAGCACCATAACTGGAGTACTACTCTACCTATGAAAGAGGGCAGTGATCATCTTAAGATCAACAACAAATTGCATATTCTTATGCAGGGGTCTTCAAACCTGGCAACTTTTTAAGACTTTTGGACTTCAACTCCCAGAATTCCCCAGCCAGCATGGTTGGTTAAGGAATTCTGGGAGTTGAAGTCCACAAGTCTTAAGGTTGCCGGGTTTGGAGACCCACCTGTTCTTATGGATCAAATGAGCATGGCTCATCTAAGTCAGAAGCCTTTCTGAAGAGCTTAGAACTTTGTCACTTGATGCCTTCTGACTTCTGGGTCTTCAAACTTTTCAGAATGTCATAGTGAGTCCCCCAAATCTTCTCTGCAGAAACTCCAGGGAGAGAGAAGTCCCAAGACCA